TGAAAGGTATAGATAGATGAGAAANCCCTTCTCAAATTCTCCTCCATCCCTTCCTAATTCCTCTAAATCTTCTCCTCCCTTTCTGCTTACTAGTAAGGGCGATGAACTTGCAAAATCCAGGGGGTCAGAAAAATGACAAAAAAATTATTTTACAAAAAAATGTTATTTTAGCCGTCAAACAGTTTGTTGATTAAAAATATGAAAATGTGAAAAAAGTGAAGAAATCTCTCCCCTGCGATCTGTGTCTGGGACTCTCTGCAAATGTCTGCAGAGTGCAGACTGCTAGGACTAAGAATTAGACCAACTTGCTAAATTATTTGAATATTCACAAGAGCAGACCTTTTATCTCTCCCATACTATGCCCCCTACACNACAATCTTTTATTGTTCCTAAATCCCTGTCCGAATCCTTTAATTTTGTTCCTATTGTCGTAATTAAACTTTTTTATCTTATTTTGAATCCCCTTATATTTTTTTTGGTTTTCATAATTTGATATTTTTGTTTATGTATGTTGTAAATTTTATGAATTTTTTTGTAAATTATATATTTTGAATATTTTATATATTTTTGATAATTTCAGACCTCTTTGAAAAAAGGCATAATTTACAGATATAAAACAGCTATTTATGTATAGCTAGAGATGTAGAAGCTAAAATGTGCAAGTTGTTATTTGGATACCCCCTCCCTCCCCCTTCTCTCCCCCTCGCCTCCCTCCCTCCCTTCTCGTCGGCTCCCGGCTTTATGTTCAGTTTTAAAGTTTTAAAGTTTTGATTAAATTCAATACTTCCCCCCGGAGTTTTCTCACCCCCAAAGGGAGTCCCCCCCTCGCCCTTCCCTTCCATTGAATCTGCAAGTTGTACAGTTTCATGGGGGTGTTCGGTTTCGAGGCTGGAAGAGCTGGAACGGGGTTAGGAGATGTTGGGGAGGGAGGGGGAGGGGGCAGATTTAAAACAAAGAAAGAAATATCCCGTCTGCCAGATACATAAAATACGAATCACGTGCATGATACAATTTTGTAATGTAACTTAAAAACATTTGAAATTTTGAAATTTGAATTCCCTTAATTCTGTTATGGACTTACACAGAGGTGACAGCTAGCTTAAGAGGTTTAAAGACTAAGAGATTCCCCCTCTTATAGTCCTCCCCCCCCACAACTTGCCTTGAATTTGATGCAGTGCAAACTCTTTAATTTTTAACAGCAAGTTGTATTTCGATTTTAAACTAAAAATTCAGACATTTAACACCTTGTAATGAATTTTTATATTACTTCTCATAGATAAAGAAAATAATAATTGCCGGGTTGAGAATAAACTTGAAATGATTAATGTTAGAATTTAGATACATTTTTTAATTTTGAGGTTTCTTGAAACTTGTTGAATCTCGACCCGCCGCCGTTGCAAAACTCCCCCCTGTGGATTGCAAAAATGCTGAGTTGGGACGGATAATCAGACTTCAGTCTACAGAAAGCAGTAGGATAGAGCAAACCTGATGTTTACGTGAAACCGGGCAAATAAAGAGAAATATAGTGAGCTCAAACATCCAGAGTTAAAGAGAAATATAGTGAGCTCAAACATCCAGAGTTAAAGAGAAATATAGTGAGCTCAAACATGCAGAGTTAAAGAGAAATATAGTGAGCTCAAACATGCAGAGTTAAAGCGGGTGTATACGTAAATTTAACTGATCTAAAAATGTCATAAATGATTCACAATAGTGTTTAACGTTTTATAGAAACGGCGCGGCGGCGCGGCGGTGGTACAAATTGCAACATTTGGTAAAACTTCAGATTTACATTATTTTTTTAAACATCGTTTACTATATCAGAAACTATTTTTTTGCACAAAGTTGTCTGAAAGAGACCGTTTTAAATTGACCGTTTTTAAGCAAAAGAACGTTTTCTGTTACAGTTTCCATTTATTTTCTACGAAAAAGATATTTCAATTAAAGAGTCTGTTTCCAATTAAAGAGTCTGTTTCAATAAAAGAGACCGTTGCCAATTAAAGAGTCTGTTTCAACTAAAGATACCATTTCCAATCAAAGAGTTAGCTTTCAATTAAACAAAACCGTTTCCAAATAAAGATACCGTTTCCAATTAAAGAGTCCGTTTCCAATTAAAAAGAGACAGTTTCCAATGAAAGATACTATTTCCGATAAAAGATACCATTTTCAATTAAAGAGTTTGTTTCCATTTAAAGAGCCTGTTTTCAATTAAAGAGACAGTTTCCAATAATAGAGAACGTGTTCGATTAAGGAAACCGTTTCCAATTAGAGGATCCGTTTTCATTTAAAGAGTCTTTTTATTTAATTAAAGAGACCGTTTACAATATAAGATACCGATTCTTATGAAAGAGATCGATGCCAATTAAAGAGACCGTTTCCAATTAAAAAACAGTTGCCAATTAAAGACATCATTTCCAATAAAAGAGACCGTTTCCAATTAAAGAGGCCATTTTCAATTAAAGGGACAGTTTACAATTAGAGAGTCTGTTTCCCTTTAAAGAGGCCGATTCAAAACAAAGATACTGTCTCCAGTTAAAGAGACCGTTTTCAATAATAGAGACTGTCTCCAGTTAAAGAGGCCGTTTCCAATTAAAGATGCCGTTTCCAACTAAAGAGACCGTTTCAAATGAAAGAGACCGTTTCATATAAAAGGGCTGTCTTCTTCAAAAGTGTTTCAAGTTTTCAACTAAAAAAAGTGCCTCAACTTTTCACTAGGATTTTGATTTCTAAAAATTGACAACCCTGGCGCCGAGGCATCTTAAAAAAAATAATTCTAAATATTTACTTGCCGGAGAGGATGGAAAAAATAAGCAACATTTTTAAACTAAGATTAATATTACGATGTAAATCTCTTGAAGCTTGCATATTTTTTTTTTCCAAGTCTTTACGCCAATTAACGTTTCGAATTATGCTTTTATTTTCTGTTTATAACAATAGATTATGTTCAATATTATTGCTTTATAGTTTAAAAGAATTTATAAAAAAACCTTTGATAAAAAGATTTTTCATTTAATTTTTTTTTTACAAAAGTCAGAAAAAATGTTTTCTTTTTAATGTTTTTATTCGTTAAACATTTTTTGTTCAAGAACAATTATTATTAAAAGAAATACAAAAGATTTATAAAAATATAATCCTATATAGTCATAGTTTAAACTTGCCAATATTAATCTGACGTTGCTAATTTCAATTGGTGGCATTATATTAATTCAAAAATATATCTTGTTATATCACGTAGAGGGAGTTTGGCTGCGAAACAGTAAAGACTACAAGGAATATCATATAATAAAATCCTTTGCAACTTAAAAGGACTGTATGTCCGATTCAATACGGTGTACCCTGAAAAGCTTTGTCTGATCAAGTATGAAATAAATATCAATGTTAATAGTTTTATATAAGGGTTAGTAGACAAAATATAGGAATTATCATAATGAGACAAGTTTTAGCTAGAAAACAACAATATCTTACGCTTTGTCGATCAGATAATTGTTCCAAGGGTTACAGTCCAATTAACATTTGGTAAAGTTCGAAAATTTAAGTAAGCTTCGGAGTTCTCGCCTTCCAGATTTTTTAATTTGTAATTTCAATTTAACATTTTAAACTTTAGTATGCGTTATAATTGTTAAAACTTCTTGAAAAAAAGTTAATTGCAGTAAAAAATGTTTCACCAGCTTTAGGACCAAACATAAGAAGACCAGTTCTATAATCTACTCAACAATAGAATGCATTCGGACAAAGGTACATGTAACATGACCACTTGAAGAGTACATTGGACTAAGTAGATTTTTCAGGATAGTTCATGACCTGATCGGATAATAGTTTAGACGAAAATTTTATGTTGGATCGAAAGATGGTTTTGCTTGATCGAAAGATAGTTTAGACATGATAGGAAAATAAGATCGGAGAATAGTTTTGACGGTACTGGAAGAAAATTTTGACGGTATGGGAAGATAGTTTTAAAGGTCGGAAGACAATTTTGACGGTATTGGAAGATAGTTTTGACGGTATTGGAAGATAGTTTTGACGNGGGCTTACATTTTTTATCTTTCCAGGGGGGGGCTGTCAATAGATTTCACTGGTCCAGGGGGGGCTTAGCCCCCATAGCCCACCCTGAATACGCCCCTGCAGACATCCAATTAGATAGATTAGTTGAAAACATAGTGGAAAAATTATGTTACAACATTTTTTTTTATTTGCAGGTTCCGATATTTTTTGTTATGAATTAAAAAGTTAAAAATCAATTTAATTAAACTAAATTAAATTTAAATTTAATTAAACAAAAGAAAAAAGAAGAAAATATTTGGTAACCGTTGAAGTAAATTTTATTTTATGAACAAAAACAACTCTTTTATTTATAATGATGAAAAAGAAAATTTGATTTTCTCATAATTGTGTGCAAACTGAAAACTGGAGGAGCTTTGGAATCGCAAAGTCGTACTCACAATTCAAGATAGGGTTAACTTTATTTTATTTGTGCTTTTAAAAAAACTTTTGTTCTTAAAAATGTGCTGTATTGTTAAACTTAAAACATGAAATTTTGGCAAAAATGGCTTAACAATTTGAAATGAAAAGTATAAATGCAACTAAATAATTTGTTGTTTGAATAATACACTTTACTTTCTTATACCATGATATCTTTCTGTTCTTAATGTCCGCCATCAAAGTACGAATGTGACGAAAAGTAAGATAGATAGATAAGATAGACACAAACTGCAACGTGAAGTAAAGAGACAGGGTTTCAGAATTACGTAGCAAAATACCCCAGACTGCATAAATGCACTTTTGCAGCGCTGCACTTGAGCTAGGCCTCTGATTGGTTGGTTTCCTGGGCTCTCATTGGTCGGTTCAACTTCTCCGGATTTTTTTCTCTCTCTCCCTTCTTCTATAACTCCGTTTATATTCCGAACTTCCCTTTTAGTTGAAGGTCTGTCATCGTACAAAGAAGAATTATTTGTTAAAACACGATCTCAAGAAAAATATAAATCATTGGTAATATATATACATTGGTTGTCAACGTTTTGGCTGGGTTAAACAAATTTTTGGACCGAGCGCTGTCGCCTTTAAGGCACACTTAAGGGTTGTTGCGGCTAGGACATTTAAGCGTAATTAGGTTACAGACAGGGGGGAGGGGGGACTGGGGACTACCAGTCAAGTATGCCACTCTATCTCTAGAAATATGGAAAAGCACATGTGTCTTATTTTTAATAAAACAATCGTCAACTTTTTTATGTAGACTTCATTCTTTTGCATTTTTAAACCTTCCTAATCTACTGAATGAAACATTTTTAAATTTTTTAAACAAAATAGCTTTTAAATATTGGGTTGGGAACATGAATTACAAGTCCAAACTCCAAGGCTTTCAGGGCGCTTCGCGCCAATCTTCTATTTTAATTTGTATGCATTGTAAAACAAAATCAGAAAAAAGTTTGCGGATTTTGAAAATTTAATGAAAATTAAATTTTGTTGGAGGCTGATTTTCGAAACTTTGATCGTTTATAACCCTTCCTTGGGGTCATGAGAGGTCCCAGACAAAATGTGGGCCCGATCGGTTTAGCCGTTTTGATGTTTATCGGATACAAGAAACAGACAAACAGGCAAGGAAAGTATAGATGGGGGTGCTATGAGAACTCACAAACGTCCATACAATCTTCACCTTATCTAAACTCTCATCAATAATCTATCTTTAACTTTCATACAGGGTGACCTTCTAAACATGATAGTTTATACAGGGTGACCTTCTAAACATGCTAGTTTAGAGACGACTTGAAGATACAAATCTTGGATCTTTAATAACTATTTGATGACAAATGGTGTCATTTTACCCTTTTTCTTTTTCAATTTACATTTTGTGTATAAATGGTATTGTACTGATCACAGACAAGCTTTATGTCGTCTATCAACTATCCGGTTATTAAAAATGACAAATGCAAACCTGAATATATGGATTGAAAAATTTCATGTTTAATGATTTGAAATCTGTTTAGAGCAATGCCTGTTCATCCTACAGTGAAGAACTCCCAAAACCAGGTTATTATTTCATTACAGGGACTGTAAACGTTATTTCAAGTTGCCCTCCATGTAAAGATGACAATGCCCGATGCACAACGGTACCCTGTCAACAGGGTTCAGCCATGTTTTTGTTGTCTGTTCTGAACCAATAGAAATTGCATGGCGGTAACATCTATCTTTCTATCTATCTCATTATCCAATCAGAGTTATGAATCCTTTAATCGGCGTTATCAGTATATGAAAATATTTACTTCTACTGAAACTATGGTGGATCAAGTATGTATTAAATATCAATGTTCATAATTTTAAATTTTTATTGTGGTTTCTGAACGAAAGTCACTTACGCATTTATACTGCAGGAAAACAGATGGCAAAATTATCAGAATTAAGCACTTTAAACCCTCTGAAAACGACAATATTGATTATTGATTAGATAAAAGTGTCAAGGGTTCGGTTGTGAATCGGGCATTGTCATCTTTGCATGGAGGGTCTTGAATATTTCATTAACATTTAATATTTAGTTTATAATAAAAATGTAATAAAACCAATACAAAATAATAACAGCTCATATTAATTATATCTTTACTAAATTTATCAAATTTGAGAGTTTAATAAAAAATAAGGAGTTTTGGCATCAAAAAGCAGCCATCCTTATAAACCCGGATAAGAACAATGATCCATATTTTTGACACAGATCTCAAAATGGCTTATTTTAGAAAGTAGTTAAGTTCATGAAATTCTGTTCGTTTGTAAATCAACTTACTTTTAAGCATTCTTTGCTTGGTTCGTTTTTAGACTCACATTTAACTAATCAGAGATGGAAACTCTTGTATTGTGGATTTCGAAATCTTAATCTTAATATTTTGTTAATCTGCAGATTAATTAAATCTCGCATGGCAATCATACTCTGCAGGAATAACTGAAAGGAAGCAATTCAAAAAGTTCCCAGAAATAAGACGCAATGAAATAGAAATAAAATTTCAAAATATTTAAACTTTTTTAGATTTTTGTGGAGTCACTGTAAAATTTAGAAAAATTAAACTACACCAAAAATTTAACAGATGTAAATTATAAAGTTTAAAATTGAAATTAACATAATTTTATTGCTTTATTCCTCAGAACAGTACTAAAATTAGTTTTTTAAAGGGAGCATTCGCGAAAAATGTTAAGGGGTTGGGTTAATACCAAATTTGATATAGAAATAGATCGGTTACAATAGAAATACTACCTGATGTTTCTTGTAAAAAAATGACATACAATTGGAAGTTTTTTTAAAAATATTTTTAAGAACACTCCCTTTATACAAATGTATTTGTCAGAAAAAAACTCGTTAAATAAAAATAGATTTGTCGAGAACACTTCCTTTAATAAAAATAGATTCGTCGAGAACACTCCCTTTAAAGAAATATAGTTGTTATACTGACTTTCATAAAAATATATTTGTCGAGAACACTCCTTTTAATAAAATATATTTGTTTAGGGAAACTTTGATAAGTATCGAGATATTAGACACAACTCAAAATACTGCGTAAGTTTAAACTCTAAGGGACAGTGCTTGAAATAAGTACATGCATTTTTTATCAAACACTATCATGATGGGGGGGGGGGTCGAAAAGTATGTCGGTGTTCCTAAAAATCAAAAATAGTCAATATCTTTTTTCAAATATAATATGTTCTTTATTTTTGTCAAAGGTAAAAATAAATATTTGCTAAAAAAAATTTCCGACGTACTTTTTGACCTTTTTTAAACCATTAAAACCATTAAACCATTAAAAATAGACATATATTTTTTTTTAATGAGCATGCAAAAGATGGACTTTGGACAATGGGCATCACTCTCCTCTATCTCAACTCATAGGTCCAAATCATTGGGGGGGGGGGGAGATGCCCCCCATCTTTGTAGATTAAACAAAAACAGCCCAATGAAAAAAGGGTTAATGGAGCTACACCAAAATAATCAAATTTCTCTTTAAAATTAACTTAACTTGGGAACTCGACTTTGCCAAGAAACTGGACACTTTTTCTGTAAAAGTCAACCCGACCAATTCAGAATTTTTAAACCAAGCTAAGCCTATTCTACAAAGTTTCCCAATCAAAATTTGAGGGGAGTGAGTCCAGGGGTTCATGGGCCATGGTCGGATATCCAAACAATCGAACAAACAGACAAACAGTGATCACCACTTTATATATACATATTTATAGACACTGTTATTTATAGTTAATACGTGACCAAATTCAATTGATTTTTTTGATGAATTTCAGAAAAGCATCAGTTTATTAAAAACTCTTTAATACAATTAACAACGGATTCATGGAAAACAAATCTAATTACAGTATGAAAATATAGAAAAAGAATCCATCTTTAATGTAGTAATTTTTTTTATACAATTGTTGGCTTGCACTAAATTTGCGGAAAAATGGGATAACAACATTTAATCTTGAACAGCATCTGTATCATTTACGTCAAATTTATTTTTACTTTTAGTTAAAAATGATAAATGTTTTCAATTGACTTGAATTTTTATGAATTTGTGAGTTTATAAACAAATATTATTTTCCCCCCATACTTGGGAATAAAATCAAACATGAAGAGCTATATCTTTGCTACCCAGTGTCGTAAACCCTTAGATCAAATAATAAGTTTGAAATATCAAATGTTTACACCATCAGGTTGCAAAGATTAAGGAATTTGAAAATCAGAGTTTGGGGCAAAGACTCAGTTCCTTTGTTCTTCTATATACTGAAAAGTAAATTGTAAAATTTTTTTTTTTTCAGAACCAGGAAGTAAAGCAGTTTGAATTCTCAGGGGGTTTAACTACAGTTGGACCAGGTATACAAATCCTACAGTTGGACCAGGTATACAAATCCTACAGTTGGACCAGGTATGCAAATCCTAAAGTTGGACCAGGTATACAAATCCTACAGTTGGACCAGGTATACAAATCCTACAGTTGGACCAGGTATACAAATCCTACAGTTGGACCAGGCATACAAATCCTACAGTTGGACCAGGTATGCAAATCCTACAGTTGGACCAGGTATGCAAATCTTACAGTTGGACCAGGTATGCAAATCATACAGTTGGACCAGGCATGCAAATCCTAAAGTTGGACCAGGTATACAAATCCTACAGTTGGACCAGGCATACGAATCCTACAGTTGTAAACTTGTTTACTTGTAAACTTGTTTACTTGTAAACTTGTTTACTTGCAAACTTTTTTACTTGTAAACTTGTTTACTTTTACTTGTAAACTTGCTCACGTATAAACTTGTTTACTTGTAAACTTTTGAAAAGCTGGTAAGAAATCAAAAATTAGAAAAGTCGTCTTCATTGCATTGATATAAACGCCGGTCAATGTTCGAGGACAGAAAGATCCAATGATAGCCCACACTAACTAAATTTTCATCTTCTATTGGAATTGGCGTGATTTACGACTAACTTTATGATTTTCAAACGACCATAAAGATCTAAACTAATATGCTTGTCATTTATGAGCAATTTCAAAATTTGATTCTCATTCCTGCATGAAACAAATAAATGTTGAACCAAAGAAATTGTTTTTACAGGCCATGTACACCTCTTTCAAAGGTCGGTCTATATATTACAGTATTCGGGGGGTGATTTCTGAAAATATTTATTTTCACTCAAGCAAAAAAAGTTTTTTTTTTTTTATAAAAAAAAATTGATAAAACTATGGACATAGTTTCAACTTTTCCCTTAATAGAGAGGAATGTATGCTTCACAATATGGTACCCTTAAACCTCTGTTTAATAACAAAGCATAGAGAATAGAATATATATTAGAGGGGAATTTACTAGAAAAAAGTGTAAAACGGCCATTTTGTTGTACTGTTTCCATATACTGCAGGTGTACTTCACATATTTATGCTATATGACCTTTGGGGCCCTGAAATATCATTTTATAGAAAATCTAAAATTATTGTTAAAAGAAAACCAAATTATGAAATAGGCTGGTTTCATAATTGACCAATGATCATTTCACATAAACTCTATGCCTTCCACTTTACAAACGATGATTTTCCGTTATAACTATAAATCAAATGATGTTTTTATTCGCCTAATTCATTATAATGAATAGGCCATTATATCTTAATATCCTTTATCAGTAAACTGTCCTAAGTGTACACTCACAGGTAGCTAAGATCCAGCCCCTGAGAAGAGCAATAAAGCATCCATACTTTTTTAATTTTTACAAATACCGCCAGAGAAAAATGGTTTCAATATGTACGCAGAGAATACGCAACAGCAATTAACTTTCCTTGCTTTATTATCTTGGCTATAGCTAACATATAAATATCTAATAGCGAAGAGCTTTATTAAATACTAGCTTGGGAACCATAGAGAATAGAATATATAGAGAGGAATTTAATGGAAAAAAGTGTAAAACGGCCATTTTGTTGTACTGTTTCCATACTGCAGGTGTACTTCACATATTTATGCTATATGACCTGTTGGGCCCTGGAATATCATTATATAGAAAACCTAAAATTAATGTTAAAAGAAAACCAAATTATGAAATAGGCTGGTTTCATAATAGACCAATGATCATTTCACATAGACTCTATGCCTCCCACTTTACAAACGATGATTTTCCGTTTTAACTATAAATCAAATGATGTTTTTATTCAACTAATTCATTATAAAGTTTATTAACAGTTTAAAAAATTCGAAATTGAAATGAATAGTCTAGGGAACATACTGTATTAATGTACTCTACTGCATATAATTTGTGAACATTTACATGATTTGTACACTTTGAACTCCCTTTCAGGCTGAAAGGGACTGAAAAAATTCATACCGAGAGATTCTTTTAATTCCTCTCTATATATTCTATTCTCTATGTTGGGAACCCAGCGTTGCACAGGATACTAATAGCCAAGGGTGTAATGCTAGAAAAGTTAATTGCGGTCGTGTATACTCTGCGTACACATTGAAACCAGTTCGCTTTGGACGGAATTTGTAAACAAGATTAGATGCATCAGTGTTAGTTTAGTATCCGAAGAGGTTAAAAGCATTACATTTTGATAATTTTGATAATTCACATAATAGTTGCCTATGACCAGAATATTTCATTGATTTTTTAAAGTGAAAGATGGATCCCATGTCAGGCTTTGACATCCGTCTTGCGTTTACATTACCACCCAGAGACAGTACACTGCAGTACAAAAGATGTGTACACCTCTGAAATAACTTTCCTTGCAATACATCCTTGCTCATAGCTAACCCCGCCGTTTACCCGCATTTAGACGATTTTTACCGGGGAACTAACTTTTTGCTATAAAGTCGACCCACTTAACTTAGAATCTCAAACTAAGAACATTCCCGTCCCGTGGTTCGTCCGAGGTCCCCAATCAAAATTTGAGGCAAATCGATCTAAGGGTTCTTGAGTTATGATCTGACAAACAAACATACAAACAGAGATTACAACTTTATATTTAAACGTGTATACTGTATAATATACACAATGTTTACATGTAAAAACTATGTTAGCTAGCAGATGTGTGTCTTTCTATGAGACTATTGAAACAAGTTCTAAACTTTGCATTAGATTACTTTCTAATTTATGCAAAAATGACCTCAACACAGTTCTTGGCAGAAATTTATTTTCTATTGCAAATGATTGTTCTGTAAATCCTTCGGATCTTAGTAAAATGTTAGTTAAAAAACAAATGAAATATTTTGATGTCCCATTTGAACATGCATGGAAAGTTCCGGTTTTACAATAACTTTTAAATACAAGAACGAATAATTTATATGTTGAAGGATTCGATGATTACGTAATAACTGAAATGATAAATATGTTATGTAATGAGTAATGATCAATGTTGTCTATTTGTGCATAATTTTGCATATTTTTCTCTTTTCTTTTGGAAACCTGTATTTTCAAAAATTGATTTAAACAAATTTAAACTACACCATTTATAAATGTATATTTATCTTTGTGTGTGAATAAATATTTATAATAATATTACGAGTTCTTATAAAACTCTTTTTGCAATTTTGATTAGAATTGGAAAAAAATATGACCAAAACCAAAATATTACCATAAGCGGTCTATATTGACAATAAAAGTGAAAAAGAAATTTAGAAATAAATCTATGACGATACAGATTTTGGCTTAAAAAGAAAGGTTCAAATACACTTTTCTAAGCCAAAAATTTGACATTTTTTAAGGTTCTAGCTCCGGAACAAGAATGATTCTACAGGACTCTTCCAATGATGGTGAAGGTAGGAGAAGAAATTTTATTTTTATATTTAGTATTAAAACTTCAGAAAGACTTACAAAAATATTTTTTTTAACAATCTGACTTAAAACCTCTCACTAATAATTGTTGCCTTACTCAGAGCCAGTACAATGGAGCACAAAACGTATCTCTGTAAAAGTAATTGTTCAATAATCATACGAAATATTTGAGGCAAAAAGTCAAAATTAGTTTTTTTTACTTTAGCCCAGTCTGTCCCTACAACCTGGAATAGTTTCTACGGTAATTTCTCTCTTTCAATTTAGGTTTTCCATTTTTTCAGGATCAATTTGGTTCTAAAAACTAATTACAGAACCTTTCCTTTAGCTGTTATTTATAAAAAAATTATTTGTGAACTTTTGTAAATGATTTGCGGAACCCTTTAAACTCCAAAAAACTGCTTCACAGTGAAAGACCGCAAGACATCCTGAAAAAAGTTTTCGAAAAAATTATTCAATTTGATACAGTGGTAACCAGAAAACTCTGGAATAGGAAGATAACTTTAAGACCCAACTTATGACTTTTAATAGTCCAATTCGCATGGGCCACAGCATTTGTGCAGTGTAAACAGACCCATTTTACTTTATAAGTGATTTGATAAGTGTCTAGTAAAACTATTTGATTTATAACAAGCTCAAATACACTTTATATTGCTATAATGTCGTCTTTCAATATCAGATTTTTCTGGTTCTCACAGTATTGATGTAATGTACGTTGTTCAGAGCCCGCGATTTAAAAACTTCTGCTCGAGCCGTAATTTCTTAAACCCGACTTTAAGGCCCAATCTTCAACCCAAATCTGACGACAGCTTGTGTCACATGGTTAAAAGCTGCAAGATCTTCGGCTCGACTTAAGGAGTTCGGCCCAATGAAAATAAAGCCGACCTTGGTTGGTTTTAGTGGGGAATAAGGCTTAATGTTGAGTCAATTGTTCTCATAAAACCCGGAATGCGCCAATTTCTACCATGAAAATCCGCCAAATAGAATATTAAACCGGTTTTTTGAACTCAACTCCATGGAAAATAAGATGCAGCTTGAATCCGAAAGCTCAAGCCGTAAATAAGGCCCAACGACAGCTTAGACCTAAGTTGTATTTTCTTGAATAAGGCCCAACGACAGCTTAGACCTAAGTTGTATTTTCTTGAATTTTTTAAATCGCCGGCTCAGGACATTTAACCTTCTGTCAAGCCAATATAAAGTAGAGCTATTGGTTCCATAAATTTTTAAAAGTGTTTTAACTGTTTTGTTTTTAATTATCAACACAAGTAAAAGTTCTGGAAGACATTACTGTCACGAAATTGATCCTGAAAAAATCGGAAATCCTTCTTACACGCACATTGTTCGCTCGTGCACTTTTAATCTATGTGTCATGTGCTCAATTGCTTAGGAAGGGGGGGGGGGGGAAAAAAA